CATGTATATTTGCTGTATTAACAGGGTAAAAGTTATGGAGAAAAATACATGTAGTATACTGTATATACTTTAATTTTTATTGAATAAATTCTTAACAAAGCTAAAACCACAAAATAAAATAATCAATAAAAATAGTAAATAGTGAAAAAAAGAAAAGACAATAGAAAAGAAGAAAAGGAAAATAAGGATTATAAAGAAGTAGCTTCCAATCATCTTGACAATAGTTATAAATAGATTTTAATTCTTTCCACTTTCTGGATGACACATATATGCATCAATAGCAATTTTCAGAATATTTTGACACACTATAAACTGTCTGGATGATTCTAGAGCCCTTGGACATTACTATTTATATGACAATAACTAAAGTCCATTAAATGTCTTTTTATGGTACTTCTAATATAGTTGTTTCTAAAAAAGCAAAAGGCAAGGGGAAAGGATTGTGCTGGTGCACCAATTCATGTTTGGATCACTAACATTCTTGAAAAGTTGGGCATAACTGCTCAGTTCTTACCTCAAAGTACTCTCCTTCTACTATAGTTCTACTTATTAGAAGTACCCATTTGCATAATCAAATCAATTGAAATAATAGAATACAATAGAATATCTTTATTGTCATTGTGTATCCCACAATGAAATTAAGTGCTATCCACAGTGCACACTACACACAAGTAAAAAGCACAAGTTAAAAAACACATACATTATATACACACATCCTTCACATTCAATTCACCATTGCGCTGCCCCTAATATTGCACTTCAATGTTGCACTATACTATAAAAATAGTTTTTATCCCAGACCTGTAACCAACGAGGGCATGAGTCCTTCGGGAGAAGGGCGGGATATAAATTGAAATTGAAAAATAATAAATTAAATACTACTATATTTAATATGGTTACAGGTCTGGGATAAAAACTATTTTTCAGCCTATTTTTCTTTGTTTTTATTATCCTGTACCGTCTGTCAGATGGTAATAGTTCAAAAAAAGGAATGATGAGTCTTTAAGAATGTTTTGAGCTTTCCTAAGACAGTGGGAATTGTACAGTTTGTCTGGGGGGGGGAGGCGAGGGCAGCCAATAATCCTCTGGGCGATGGTAATGACCCTCTGGAGCGCTTTCCTATCTACAGTACTGTGCAGTTGGCAAACTGAACACAAATGAAATAGGTTAGAATGCTCTCTTGGAGCAATGATAGAAGGTCACCAGCAGTTTTTCATAATCTCTGCTACGTCTTCTTAACCAATGCTATAACATGAGCATTCCAGGTCAGGTCCTTCTTTATGGTAACACCCAGAATCCTAAAGCTGACCATCCGCTCCACATGGTCTCTGCTGATGATCATTCATTCATTCATTCATTTATTGGACTTATATGCCGCCCTTCTCCCCACTGGACTCAGGGCGGCTCACAGCATATTAAAACAGTATAAAACATTATCCCCAATAAAAACCAATTAAAAACAAATATTTGCCGCTGTGTCTTATTAAAATCATTAAAATTGTCCCTATTTAAAATTCTCCCTAGGCCAGACCCGCTT